ATGACCGCCAAGTTGAGAATTGGAGAAACCTGTAAACAGTTACAGTCTCAGAAACTCCCAAGGGCAGTTCTACCCTGTCCAATAGGCAGTGGTGGGATTCAAATAACTTACCATATGGGTCGCTGCCCTATTGACCATCTTAAGGATAAAAAATGATAAAGATCATTTATTATTTCATACAGTTAACACTTAAATAAGAACAATAAAACAAGTGCACAAAACCTAGATTATGTTATAAGAAGGTAAACAAGCAGCCATCTAGCTCAGAAGCAACAAAGCCCACATGGAAGAATACACCAGCCTGTGTGATCACGAGGTGTCGATGGGATCAGGTATCAGGCATCAAAGAACAAAAAATCATATCATTGTGTGCTCACCTTCCCAATTATATTATAACATAAGAGCTTAAAAATGTTAAAGAATACCTGACAAAAACAATAAAACTGTTACTTAAGATAAAAAAAATTAGTCAGCATTTGAGGTAGTTAGTTTATTGTGCCAACCTGGCCGATAAATGCATGTGGGGTTAATTGAAGGGCAGAGGGATAAATGGCTTGGTGAGCCTCGCCTTTCGAATTTTCAAGTCTCTTGCTTTCTGATGGTCGGACCAGGGTGCAGCTGCCTTAGCCAGTTCCCTGCTTCAGCTGGCAAGGCTCACTTCCTGAAAGACATACCTGAGGAGAAGCCACTTGGACCTACCCCGATGCAGCCCTGGGTGCCCCTGCCAGGGCTGAGATGCTTACACGTTCACTGATTCAGCTTTCCTCCTGCAGTCGGCATCATTGTGTGTGTTTTGTGAGATGAAGGAGGACTTTGTGGATTGGTGTGGGACATATGGGTTAATGTTGGACTTGTGGGTTTGGACAGCACTGGGTTGGGATGTTTTCTTGATGTGCACTTACCCTTTATATAAAACTCTCTCATATACATATGAGTTTCGGTGGATTTGTTTCTCAAAAGTACCCAGACTAATACAACATTCAACCATTTCAGGAGGTAGCATAGGAGCAAGAACAAGTGGCACTGAAGGAAGAAATTCAAACTGCACTGAAAGCATTAGACAAAACCAAGGCTCCAGGAATCGAGGAACTACCGACTGAAATGTTTCAACAAGCTCATGAAGCTCTGGAAGCACTTACTCGTCTATGCCAAAAAAACTTGGGAGACAGCTACGTGAGCAACTGACAGGGAGAGATCCATATTTATATTCATTGCGAAGAGAGGTAAGCCAACAGAATGCACAAATTGTAGAACAATATCATTAATATTACATGCAAGAAAAAAAATTGCTGAAGACCAAATGTTGTAGCCAAATGCTGAAGACCAAATGCCAAGTGCATTGGCAGGGTTCAGGCAAGGTTCAGAAGAGGAGGTGGAGCAAAGGGTATCATTGCTGATATCAGATGAGTCTTAGCTGAAAGCAGAAAATACTAGAAAGATGTTGAGCTGTATTTTTTTTTAATCATTTTATTGGGTGCTCTTACAGATCTTCTCACAATCCATCCATCCATCCATCCATCCATCCATCCATCCATCCATCCATCCATTGTGTCAAGTACTTTTGTACATATGTTGCCTTCATCATTTTCAAAATACTTTCTTTCTACTTGAGCCCTTGATATCAGCTCCTCATTTCCCTCCTCTCTCCCCCACCCTCCCTTTCTCATGAACCTTTGATAATTATAAATTATTATTATTTTAATATCTCACATTGTCCACTGTCTCCCTTCATCCACTTTTCTGTTGTTTGTCCTCCTGGGGGTTTAGTTGTATTTTATTGATTATACAAAGGCACTTGACTGTTTGGTTCATAACAAACCATGGATGGCCTTAAGAAGAATGAGAAATCCAGAACACTTCATTGGGCCCATGTGGAACCTGAACAGGGATCAAGGGGCAGTTAATCAAACAGAACGCGGGCATACTACATCATTTAAAATTAGAAAAGGTGTACATTAGGACTGGATTCTTTCACCATGCTTATTCCATGTGTATCCTGAGCCAATAATCACAGAAGCTGGATTATATAACAAAGAATCCAGTATCAGGATTGAAGTATGGCTTATTTACAACCTCAATATGCAGATGACACAACCTTGCTTGCTGAAACTGAAGAAGTCTTGAAGCACTTGTGGAGAAAGATCAAGGATTGCAGCCTTCACTTTGGATTACAACACAATGCAAAGAAGAGCAAAATCTTTACAACTGGATCAATTGGTAACATCATGAGAAATGGAGACAAGATTGAAGTCGTCCAAGATTTCATCTTGCTTGGATCAGCAGTCAATGCTCACGTATGAAACAGCCAGAGATGCATTGCACCTGCTGCACAAGATGTTACATTGAAGACAAAGGTGCACCTGACCCCTACCCATGGTATTTTCAATAGTCTCATATGTGTGTGAAAGTTGGACATTGAATCAAGAAGACCATAGAAGAATAGATGCATTTGAGTCATGGTGCTGAAGAAGAATATTGAAGGTACCACGGATTGCCAAAAGAATAAGTAAATCTGTCTTGGAAGAAGCCAGAATGCTCCTTAGAAGCAAGGATGGGGAGACTTCGTGTACGTACTTTGGACTAAGTTATTAAGAGAGATTACTCCGTGGTAAAGAACATCATGCTTGGTAAAGTAGAGGGGCAGCGAAAATGAAGAGGGCACTTGACAAGATGGATGGACACCGTGGCTGCAACAATGGGGTCAAACAAAGCAGTAACTGTGAGGATGGTGCAGGACTGGGTGGTGGTGTTTTCTGCTGTACATATGGCCTCTACGCCTCTGTGCATTGGAGCCGGCTCGAGGGCACCAAATGACAACAAGAGCACTTGTGCTTCTTGCTTTATGGTAATTTAATAAGAATGTGATCATATAGCACATGGATTTTATTACCTAAATATATAATGGTATGTGAGAATATATCTCATAACAATAAATGTGGAACTATCATAAATTGGAGTGACTACCACGCTATTTCATGATGGGCAGTTATCTTACTTGACCCATCTCCTATTGTTGGCCATTTGGTGGATTTTTTTCTCTATAATAAACTACTATGCTATAAATATCCTATGTTTATATATATTCTTATAATATATATAATATTTATAATATAAATATGTACCAAGACCATAGAGACTTTTACATACATATATCATCTCATTCAATGTTCTTCCCATCCCTTTAAAGGAAAGAAACCTACCAGTATTTCCATTTTAGAACACTAATCCTTGAGCCACAGAACAGTCACAAAGCCAATTGTCAAAAGTTG